ACTACGTGAAGTAGCAAAAACCAGAGCCCCTGTGCCTGCCAGCAAGGGCCATTTTCATTCTTGCAGATGGGCTGGGCCCGCACGCCATCGGAGACAAACAACGATCCCGGTGTGTATGAGGTAAGGGAGAGGTTGCTTCGCGTGCGCTCTTCCTTCTTCCATTTGTTCATAGTGTTTGCACAAGGGGCCGTGAACAGTTGTACATCGTAAGACACTGGCCACAGAAGAGAGCATCCCTACCAGGTGGCGGTTCTTTTTTTTGGCCTTCTATTATCATTCCATGTCTCTAAGTGAAGAGGCTATTAAGAAGTGATGGAAAAGCAAACGAACTAACGATATATATAATACAACCCAACAGATGCAGAGAACAGCAAGTGCCATACGACGTACTCCGTGAATTGACGTTGTCATTGATTGGTGTAGAATCCGCTGCACGCCGAGAATGATGGGAAGCAAACGAAGGAAAAGTACGCGTATTCATACAAAACATCCAGCAAGCAGAGAAGGGCAAAGACATTGTGACTTGCCACGTCGAGTCCCACAGTGTCACAGCCAGCCCTGGATTTGCACCTGCCCAAAAAACGTGACAATGCACGAAGAGGGAGGTCAGTAGAAGGCGAAAGTATGTTTGGAAAAAGACATGAAAGCTGCAGGGAGGTAGTAATAATAATAATAATAATAATAATAAAAAATAAAAAAAAGGCAAGACATCATTAACCCAAAATAGACAATTGACCTGCAACCCATGCATCTTCCTGGTCGTCGAGGCTCCTTGCAGAATAAACTGCAGGGAGTCGACAGTGCGTGTGCATGTCTCTCCCTGCTGTGTGTACGACGGCTGTTTGCTTGTGCGTCTTGTGTGCGGATCGAAGAGATGTGGGCTTCCACGTACCTTGTCTTTTGTCTCTTCTCACTTGTTTTTTTTTTCCCCGACGTTTTGTCCTTTTATTTTTTTTTATTTTTTTTTTTGTGATTGACAACCAAAGCTGCCATTTCTGACCGCCTCGCCTTCACAGTGGCTCGCTGGCACTCGTTTGCATTCTCGGCACCGCATTGTGAGACACGATGGACAAGAGGAATAATCACGAGCAGGGAGAGACAAATCGGCGGAGTGGTGGATGACAAGAGAAAGGTCAGAAAATGAGGGCTGGACGCTGATCGCCGTTGCGTCCCCTGCAAGTCCCAGTTCGGCTTTGCTGTCGTCGGGCAGTGGCGTGTCTCCTGGGAAGGAGGAGGAAGTAATCCGGACAAAGGAAGAAGAGGGAACAAGACAAAAGAAGAGGACAAGATTGTGGTCTGAAGAGTGAAAGGGAAGCTCCCTATAGGTTGCATTTTGCATTTCCCTCTGTGTTTCTAGACATCTCGCCTCTTCCCTTTCACTCTTGTCTGGGTTGTCAATGGCTGAGAAACAATGTTCCGATCATGCCGATTTCTCTCTGGCGCAAGTACTCCATACTGAGTACGATAAATACGATAGACGCCGTTTGTTCGATGGCTCGAGTCCGAATACAGTGGCATTTATGCTTGTTCGTAGTCTCTCGTCTGCCCCGACCAGACCCTGCCGAACGTCGTAAGTAGGACAGCGTCACCAGGGTCGCCTGCAACCCGGTTCGTGTCTTGCCCCGACCCTTGCATTGATGGAGCATAATCTGGTGCCCTCGAAGCGGATAGATAGGCCGACATAGATGACGAGACAAAACGGGCCAGAAATGGACACCAGCCATCTCCAGACCTGTTTGTGTGGTCTAGAAACAGCTTCTCACACTGTCCTTGCATCCGAAATGTCTCTGTGTTGATTCAGACCCTGACTACACTTGACGCAATCATCTCCCTGTCTCATGTGTCCTTTTTTTATTTGCTGGCTACCTGGGTGACCTTCTCTAATCTTGCATGCCATAAAACGGCAAATTGCCGAGACAGGACCATCATCAAACACTGCTTCTTGCACAGTTGCCGGTTACCTTTAACGCAGGTATGATTTGCTTGACATGCAAGTGACAGGAGGAACAGAATACGACAACCCTTTCAGCTACGTCCATAAAAAAGAAAGGATAAAAAGTTTCATTGCCAAGCTCCTCGTCAAAACGACAATCCATTTAGGACGGGACACTGTGTACAAACACAACGCTTCATGTACGGCTACTCCAAAACTTAAAACCAAGGACAAAAAACAATGCAAAAAAACAAACAATATGCAGATAAATCTTTGGGACTGAAGCCAATAGACAAGTGCCACCTGGCATCTAGTATCTAGCATTTAACATCCCCGCCGCAACCACTAAAGTCGCCCAGTAGCCGGTCGACTCCTGGTACATTCATGCCCTTCCAACCTGCACCATCCGTCTCACGTTTACCAATGTCAATGACGGCACCGACAATGTCCCGGGTCACAAGCTCTGAGACTGCACTATCGTGCTTGTACTCGGGATGCTGGTCGACGTACGACCGAAGCCAGCGGGCGGCCGTCCACAACTCGCCGGATGCGCGCTTACGGATAAGGTCGAGGTATGTGGACAGTTGACAGCGCGTCTGCACGTCGACGTTCATGGAGTCGAGGTAGCTTTCGACGAGCGGGATGAGGCCGGGGAAGGGAGGGTCAGCCGGTGACGACGCAGGCTCGCCATTCGATTGGTCGTCGTTGTCGGCGCCGTACATTGGATATCCGGTGCCGTTTATAATCTCATTGATCGTCATTGGCCGGTACTCGTCCTCCACGGAGCCCAACGCTACAGGCGTCTCCGGCCGGCTCTGTGCGACGGGCGTCGTTGTGCCTGAGGCGTAGGCACTATTTGTGTCGTCGCCGTGTGGCGACCGATGGCGGCCATACCGATGGGCCCGTTGCGCATTAAAGAGGTTCTTCCGGAAGTAAAACCGCTCGTTCAAAACGGCGTCACGCGCATGTGCCGTCTCCATGTTCTCTGTCACACGTGCAATGGGGATGTAAAAGTTGAGGTCAAATGACAGGATGGCACGAGTCACAAGCACAATGAAGACGGCAAACGCGGCGTTCTCAAAGTCGGTGACCTGCACCTCCATGGGCCGCACCTCAACACGCCATCCAATGCTATTGTCTGGCGGCGGCGGCTTGAAGCGCATGTGTTGCCAGTTGGTCGACTGCAGGTTTTCAAAGTGGTTCGTCTGGTCCAGGTCGAGCGTCTGCAGGTCCTCGGAGAAGATGACAATCGGGTCGCGGATGAACAGGTGCGCAAAGTGCGTCGCCAGGCGGTCATCCATGCCGCCCTGGATCAGCTCCGCCTTGATTTCCTCATCGACCACAAGGTCCGGGTCCAAGTATTCAGGCCGCAGCCGCGGGTCGGTCGAGATGTACGTTGAATTGGACGCGTACCGAGACTTTGGTATCCGCCAGCGGTCATTCTTCAGCGGCTTCTCTCCGAGCTCTTCCGGTGTGCGGTCGTCCACGGCGCGGCTGATTTGGTTCCAGCGCACGTCCGTATCGGCCAAAAAGCCCTTGTAGATTGGTGTCGCCGCCGTCAGCGCCAACAGGATGGGCCCCAGAGGACTGAGCTGGTCGTAGAGCCGACGGCCCTCGGTGATGTTCTTGGCCTGGAAGGTGATCTGCAAGCAGCAGCTGCCCATACCAAACGCCATAGCATCCATGTGGATGAAGTTGTCCGGAGCGGAACCATTGCGCACGTCGGCATCTTCGGGGTACTTGTTGAGGTCGTAGTTGACAGTTGGGTCCTTCCACGGCCAGGGTGTGTTCACATCGCGAAAGACGGGCACGTTGACCTGGACCTTGCGGCCGCGGCGCGTGCGGATGTTGGCGGCAAGCGTCGGGAAGCGTATGTGCGGGTTGGCAATTTCATCTGGCACGAATTGTGACCGTAGCTTGGGGCCCGACACGGGGTAATACGGGTCCGAAAACACGCCTGGGAACCCCAGTCGCGGGAACGTCGTCAGGGTGATTGGGTACTCGTCGGAACGCATGTGGTCTTTGGCAATGACTCTCCGTAGCCGCATGTTAGGCTCGACGTCGATGAGCTCCTTCAGCTCAATGCCCCACGGTTTACCCGGTGTCGATTCGAGCATGAACCGGCCGAACTCGGGATGGAAGACCGGCAGCGGGTCTTGGCTATGGTGTATTAGATTTCACATCATGACAGCCACTTGGGAAAAGGGAAACGGAGGTGGTCACGACGAAACATACTTGGACTTGTTCCCGGCAGCATCTGTGACGTCAGCCTGGCCTTCTGTGCAGCCGCCCTTGGCTGCCAGGACAGCGTCGTTGGCCAGGGCATCGAGGATGTCGGCCTGGCGCAGAGACAGAAGTGATCGAGGATCATCCTTGTCATACGTCACAACGAGATACTCAACCTCGTCGCCCCAGAGCAGGGCGTCCCTCTCTTTCGTCTTGGCCTTGTTCCAGATCTCGAGGAGTTGCTATGCGGCCAGTCAGCTTATTATCATAGCACATTGAACCGCAATACGCTGGCACCGGCTCGTAGCAACATGCGCCCTTCCGCTCACCTTGATGCCCCATTTGCGGACCTGGTCAGCGTGCGCCTTGGCTTCCGGCCAATCCAATGCCGTGCCGAGCTGTCTGCAGCCACAAATTTGGAGATGATTAGCCGTGGTGCCTGGCCGACTCAAAATGCCATATCTTGCTCGCATGCGGTGGCACTTACAAGAGACCCATTGTGAAGTTGCGTCAGCCGCAGAGGAGTTAATTGCAGACGTTGTCTGGCGAGGATACTGGTTGTGAAGGTCGAAGTACAAGAGGCGAATCTCGCAAAAATAGAAAATATCCAGTGTGCGTAAACATGAATGGGAGGACGAATGGGAAATGAACAAAAAATCACCTGCGCAGCTCTAAGGCCAAAAAAAGGCAATAAAATGCACCAAGATAACAGCCAGAAAAACAAAGCCTCTTCGGAGCATATAAAGCTCAAAGTGTCCAGAGACAAGCAAATCGCTTGGCGAGCTTAAAGCTTCGTGATGCCCACGCAGCGCCGCGCAACAGCCTGGTCCCCCCCCACGCGATGCAGGTCGAGGCTCGTCTAAGGCGGCCCTGGCCGAATCAACGTAACGTTCTCGTTGGAGTCGCAGTGAGGAAGCAATGTCGTCATCCGGGCACGCAACAAACGGGCGATGCGGTTGGCTGGCTAGAGAGCAACGGCCGAGGAAAGAGGCAAGACGATAGTGAAGCTCGCCCCAGGTTACAATGTGTAAGAAGTGATGTGTCTGAGATTGACGCTGATTTGGGGGAGGGAAAAGACAAAAATAGGTCCGTCGATTCGGGTCGGCCGACTGCGGCGCACGGCAGAGACGACACCTGGGATATGCTCGTCAGCGCCGGTCGGTCCGTGGAGAACAAAGGCCGGAAGGCTATGGTCCTGGATGCGGTCCTCGCTGCTGTCCTAGCAGAGGGGCGACTCGACAGTTTTAAAGGTGATATCTCGGGATCGTATGGCCGGCCTTTTTCACTTTTTTTTCTTGGCACGTTTTCGTACTCTAGCTTTGAGTTGCGCACGAGGAAGGTGCTGCTTAGAAATACTGGCATGGGGCTAAGTCTTTCCCACCATTTTACTACGGAGTATTACGTCGTACCTTCTGTCCCGCTCTGAACCGCTGGTGACGGGGCAGTAGCGTGCGGCACGACCTGACTAAAAGCAGAAAGAGTGTCCGGCAAGTCCAAGAGAGCACATCCAGATGTCAGAGACTCATGGAGAAGGAGCTCTGAACTCGGTCCGGTTGCGGGCGTGGTCGACGGTGCTTCATTCTTTCCTCCTTTTGGTCATTTTTGTTTTGCTCTTTCCGTTCATCCATGGAATTATTACCCTGCATCCCACCCGCACATGGTGACTTTGCGGACTACAAACCCCTCGCGCTTTTCCCGGTGTGCATGATAGCATTACATTTGTTCAGGAAAGATGTGAACAAAAAAAAATCTCATATGCGCCCTTCCCCTCTTCAACTTGGCACAGGGCGCGGATCGACCCACAACGGCGGTGTTGATCGTGCATGCGCTAAAGCGGGTTAATACCAAGCTGTAATATAAGAATATATAATAAACCCATATTCTATGTCTACGCTTTGGGTAATACTGTGCATGCCTCAGGCAGACAAAAATTTCAAGAGTAAGACGCCCTTCACTGACGCGCTACGTGAGTGACGCGAAAGGGGGTCCGCCTTTGCTAAATGAGGTCCCCAAAAACAGTAGAGCTTTTTGCGGCCAGAAGTCCAGCAAGGCCACCTCTCTGTTCACTCTCATCGTTTCCCTTTCTCACCATCATCTCGCCAGTATCATTTCGACTCTCGGGCACGCTGCATTTCATCAAAGCACCATTCGTTCCCCGTCATTTATCCGCCCTCACTTGCTGCCTGCCTGTGTAGCCGCGATAGCTTCAAGCTACGGTCTCACACTCGAGCACATCGACACATTACGACATTTGGGCGAAGCGGTCGCACCATTGTGCACCACATCGCAACCTCCGAGGACGGGCGCTATGTCCGAAATCACGATTGACGCCAAGACGTTCCAGGACCGCGTGGGCGACTTTGTTAACGCCTGGAAGGCCGACGCGAAGCGAGCTGGTGATGATGGCGTGTTCAACGGCGCGAGCTCCATCCTCGTAATGATGGGCAAAGTTGAGGAGGTGCCCGAGTATCAGAAGAACAATGCAGTTCATGTGAGTCACTGGTCCAGTGATGGGGTTGGATGCCAAGTGAAGCAATGACAGCAAGAGGACGAAGGGCTAACTTGATCAGTTTTGGCTACTGGGCTACGAGTTTCCTACGACCTTAATGCTCTTGACGCAGGAGACCCTCTACATCCTGACAACGGCGAAAAAGGCAAAATACCTCGACCAGATCAAGGGCGGCCGCTTCCCGGTCGAGGTGCTTGTGCGTGGCAAAGACGCTGCCGAGAACGACAAGCTGTTCCTCAAGATTATCGATGCCATCCGGACATCGGGCAAGAAACTCGGCGTGCTCCCCAAGGACACGTCCCGTGGCCCCTTTGTCGACGAGTGGAAAAAGACGCTGGAGGAGAACGGGAAGGATATTGAGCAGGTGGATATTAGTGCCGCCCTGTCGTCTGCTGCTTTCGCAGTCAAGAACGAGACGGAGCTCCGTGCCATGCGTACAGCATCTCGGGCCTGCGTTGCCCTGATGCATCCTTACTTCCTAGATGAGATGTCCGACATTCTCGACCAGGACACAAAGATCCGCCACACCGATCTTGTCGACAAGGTGGAGAAGATGATCGACAACAAGAAGTTCTGGAAGACGGTCGAGTTGCCCAACAAATCGAAACTGCCGGCCGAGTTTGACGTCGAGCAGCTTGACTGGGTTCTTGGCCCTATTGTTCAGAGCGGCGGCAAATTCGACATCAAGTGGCAGACCGAGGTCAACAACGACAACCTTCGGCCCGGTATTATTATTGCTGCCCTGGGCATGCGCTACAAGTCATACTGCTCGACCATTGCGCGCACATTTTTGGTTGACCCCAACAAGGCGCAGGAAAGCAACTACCGCCTCTTGTCGGCTGTCCACAGCCTTGCTCTCAAAGAGATCAGTGACGGCGTTCTCTGCAAAGATGTCTACGCCAAGGCCCTCAGCTACATTCGCAGCAAGAAACCGGAGCTGGAAAAGAACTTTATCAAAAATATTGGCTATGGCATCGGTCTGGAGAACCGCGACTCTACGCTGCTCCTCAACGGCAAGAACACCCGTGTCCTTAAGGATGGCATGACGCTCTGCATCACGACGGGCTTCAGCGACATCGAGAACGCGCAGTCCAAGGACAAGAACGACAAGCTCTACTCGCTTGTCATTACCGACACCATTCGTGTCACAGCCGGCGAGCCGGTCATTTTCACAGGTGATGCACCGAGCGATGCTGATGCAAGCTCGTTCTTCTTCAAAGACGAAGAAGAGGCTCAACCCACTCCTAAGAAAGAGAAAAAGGACGCCCGCGTCGGCGCTGTTGCGACCAAGAACATTACTAGTACGCGCTTGCGTTCTGAGCGTTCGACGCAGGTGGACGAGGACGGCGATAAGCGCCGCCGCGAGCATCAAAAAGAACTCGCGCAAAAGAAGCAGCGCGAAGGCCTGGAGCGCTTTGCTGAGGCCACCGGCGGCCAGAACGGCAAAGAGATCAAGAAGTTCAAACGCTTCGAATCGTACAAGCGGGACAACCAATTCCCGCTAAAGGTTCGCGATCTCGGTATCGTTGTCGACACCAAGAACAGCACCGTCATCCTGCCCATCATGGGCCGTCCCGTGCCGTTCCACATCAACACGATCAAGAACGCAAGCAAGAGCGACGAGGGCGATTGGTCGTTCCTCCGCGTCAACTTCTTGTCTCCGGGCCAGGGCGTCGGCCGCAAAGATGATCAGCCGTTTGAGGATGCGTCTGCCCATTTTGTGCGCAGCCTGACGTTCCGCTCGACAGACGGTGACCGCTACAACGACATTGCCAATCAAATTGCCGGCATGAAGCGCGACGCCACCAAGAAGGAGCAGGAGAAGAAAGACATGGAGGATGTTGTAGAGCAGGACAAGCTGATTGAAATCCGGAACCGGCGGCCAGCCGTACTTGATAATGTCTTTATCCGCCCGGCCATGGAAGGCAAGCGCGTGCCAGGAAAGGTCGAGATCCACCAGAACGGTATCCGCTACCAGTCGCCGCTGAGCGCGCACCAGCGTGTCGACATTCTGTTCTCCAACGTCCGCCACCTCTTCTTCCAGCCGTCGCAGCACGAGCTGATTGTCATCATCCACATCCATCTGAAAGATCCGATCATCATAGGGAACAAGAAGAAGACGAAGGATGTGCAGTTCTACCGCGAAGCCACCGATATCCAGTTCGACGAGACCGGCAACCGGAAGCGCAAGTACCGATATGGCGACGAGGACGAGTTCGAGGCCGAGCAGGAGGAGCGTCGCCGGCGCGCTGAGTTGGACCGCCTCTTCAAGAGCTTTGCCGAGAAGATTGCCGAGGCTGGCCGCAATGAGAACCTCGAGGTCGACATGCCGATTCGCGAGATCGGCTTCAATGGCGTGCCTTTCCGTAGCAACGTCTACATCCAGCCGACAACCGAGTGTTTGATCCAGCTGACAGAGCCGCCCTTCATGGTTGTCACGCTCGAAGAGATCGAGGTGGCACACCTGGAGCGCGTGCAATTTGGACTCAAAAACTTCGATTTGGTGTTTGTCTTCAAGGACTTTTCGCGCCCACCCTTCCACGTCAACACGATCCCCGTTGAGTCGCTCGAGGACGTGAAGGAGTTTTTGGACTCGTCAGATATTGCTTACTCTGAGGGTCCGCTGAACCTCAACTGGCCGACGATCATGAAGACGGTCACAGCCGACACGCACCAGTTCTTTGCCGACGGTGGTTGGGGCTTCCTACAGAACGAGTCGGACGACGAAGACGGCGATTCTGAGGAGGAGGAGGAGAGTGCGTTCGAGATGAGCGAGAGCGAGCTTGAGGAGCCGTCTGAGTCGAGCGAGGAAGGTTCCGATTTTGATTCGAATGCCTCGGACGAGGCAAGCGATGAGGACGCCAGCGAGGAGGAAGAGGGCGAGAGCTGGGACGAGCTCGAGCGAAAGGCAAAGAAACGCGACCGCGACACAAACCTGGACGACGACGACCGCGGTAGCAAGAAGTCGCGCAGGCGCTAGGACGGAGAAGACATGGATGAGTGGCGGTCTCGCGAAGGTCTCGATGGCAATTTCCACGCTTCATTGAACATAATATAACCACACTGACGACATTCCTTCATCTATCTCTTCTCTTTCGTTATTGTCTTTTTTACTATATTGGTATCTTCTTATGCTCTTTCAGTTTTGCTTTTTGTTTCTGTAAAATGGGACTTGTTTGATTGTTATTTGCGACATGCGTTTGCGAAAGGGAAAAATTGAAGACTTTATTATTGAATACTGAAGCTGTGGGTTCGAGCATTCTATGGAGCTGTCCGCTGAGCCTTGTGACGTGCCGAGCAGTGGCAGCCGAGCAAAATGAGAAAACAATGCTTTGTATTTCAAATAAAAAGCATTCACTGGCGTTAGTGCCAATGGAGGGATCCATGAAATCAAATTTATTTTAACCATACAAAAAGATCCGTTTTGCGCAACGCCGTTATACAGAGAAATTACATGGGGAAATGGAGGAATGTGAACGAACTGTGGGAACGAAAGCATACGAAGCAATTTCCTCTTGCTGTGGAGGTGCATAATACAAGCTACAGCGTCCAGGCCGCTCGAGTGTGTTGATACTTGTCATGCACGGTGTGAAAAGCAAATAAATGACACGAAATGAGAATAGTCGGGAAAACATCCATAAGCCAAAAAGAAAAGAAGAGCACAAAAAACAAGAAACAAGCCAAGAGAAGCAACAAGATGAGAGGAAAGGAATCAGAAAAGGCGACGAGAACGGGAGTGCACCACAAATTCGGCCGCAAAAAGTTAAATCCAAAGTTCGTCTCCGCACACCGAGACTATTTTGCCCGCATGGGATTCTTTCCGGAACCATACGCTGCAACCAACTGCGCCGGCTTGGACATGGCATTCTACGCCCCGCTGCCACTGACGTCCCGGCCCGATGCGAGTACAGCACTGCCACCAGCACCACCGGCATCAGCCTGTCGCGAGGGCGCCGGCGCGTTATTCCAGGACAGATATGTGTGGTCACCCAGCTTTCTTGGCTTAATCATGTGCGTGACGGTGAACACAACACCCAGGAGGATGCAGATACCGCCGACAACGAGGTAGGCAATGCCCAGGAAGGGGTTGCGGCCGCCCATGACAGTACGGGTAGACAGGATAATGGACTTTGTGCCGCGGAACTCGGTAACGTTGAAGACTAGAAAAAAGAAGTCAGTATTAGCAATCATTCGCAGGTCCGTCACCCGAACGAGTGACCAGGCGAGTCAAACACTTACAGCTAATAACATCGACCTGGTAGGTCCCGCTGCGCATGGCGGTGGTGTCGTTGCGTTGGGCCAGCTTGCTGAAGGTAGGCAGGCCAGCAGTGCGCATCCACACCATAAGGGACTCGTCCGTGGACAGGTCGGGCGGCGGGTTCGACTCGGTGTATCCGTTGGGGTATCGGTGGATCCAGTTGGGGGGCGGCGAGACCTGTGAGTAGCTCATTGACGATGGGAACTTGCCGTACAGCGGCTTGTCGGAGCTCCACGCAATGTTGGTCTGGTTCTGCATGACGTACGTCTCGTTGTCGCTGCTGCCGTCCTGGACGTTGAGCAGCACGGGGCTGGAGAAGGTGTCGTTGAAATAGGAGTTGGCAATGAGACCGCAGGGATAGTACGCGGCACCGGTACTGTTGACTTCGAGCGGGTCGCACTTGGAGCCCTTGACGTCGGAGTCACTGACAACGTCGCCCTTAAGCTGCTTGTCGAAGAAGCTGTTGACGTAGCGACGGTGGTTCTGATAGAAGTTGGTCAAGTGGTAGTAGAAGAGCACGGGAGGGCCCATGCTCTCGGGGATGTCGAACTGCAGGCTGCACACGTTGACGGGGAAGGGCACCTTGACGCCGTCGTATGTGACCTCGATGGGCGTGCGCTTCCACATAGCGGCGGCCGTCGTCGAGTTGCTAGATGCCTTGAACTGCATCTTGACGGCATCAGACGGCATGTCCTCGAAGCCTGCCGTCGGCGCCTGGTTGTCACAGTTGGTGTAATCGAGCTGAATCATCTGTACCTGCGCGCTAACATAGAGCAGAACGCCACCAATGGGCGCAAAGATGATACCAATGGCGAAGAAGAGCGGCAGCACGGTCTTAGGCGTGAGAATAGGTCTGTGATGTGATGTGAGCGGGTGTCTCTCCCTCTGTGTCTCGACTTCCCGGGTCTTTTAAATGTCGTCGAACTTACTGCCATGCCTTGAGACGTTGTTGCCGGAAAGCGGTGTCTGTTCACGGGGGTGCAGAATCATCGTCAGTCAAACTGGTCCATAGCATCGCCATCGACATCGCGACGATGATGAGCCATCATCACCACAGATCCCAATGCCCAATATCGCGCCGCCGGATCGCCAGGAAACGCGCAAGAACGCGCCCGGCATCTCCGGAATCCACATTCCCTCCTCCCAAAACGTCTCACGTACTTGCAGGTCTCTTGCTCTTTTTCTTCTCGGCGTGCTTCGAGTCGCTCTCGGAGGTAATCGAGTCCGGGTGGCCCAGATCGGCGGGCTCGTCGTCGCGGGGCGCCATCGTTTAGACGTCGATTTGCAAATTGCGTCGTTCAGTATCTCTTCTTATGTCCCTATCCTCGCTGTGTTATTGCGTCTGTCAAAGAAAGTGCAGATGTCGCGTCGTGGCAAGACGTAGGTCGAGTTTGCATGGCCTTATTTTTTGATGGATGATGGGTGGCTGCTTTGCTGTTGCCCCCTTTGCTGGCAACTCTGCTACAGATGACGGGCGCAGTGGCAGAATTCCAGGAGGTAGAAACTTAGCCCGTGGCGCCGAAATTTAGTTGGTTGGCTAGGCTCAGCCACAGCGCGTCTCGCATTTGATCCCACAGCATACGAAACAGGTGTGGGTCTAATCACGTGATGTTCTATTTCAGGCATTCGCAGAGACCAGCCTACGTAAGATGCGAGGCTGGTAACAACTTCAGGCAACAGGGAAATTTGACAGATGAACAAGTAATCAGGGACAAGCCCCAACATAATGATAAGCAGAGACATGCATGTCAGCCAGAATGGCCAAGACAGCGACACAAAAAGCTCGAGCGACCATTTTGAAAGTGACGAGCAATGTGATCCCGGCCGAGACGCAAGGGATTAACGCGTAGTGGCGATCAGTCCGCGCGTGCATCCAAGTCCAAGCACGTCTTAGCTGCAAGAAAGGGAGCCTGCCCGGCTTCCAAGACGCAGTGGTGCATCCGCTGCGTGCCTCCATAGGGGGCTGTCGACAAGGACATTCGCTTTGATGCATATTAAACCGAAAGGAAAGGAAAAGGCGACCTTGGGAATGTGTAAAGAAGGAGCAAAGGAGGCCCACCAGTGCCAGCTGTGCCCGATTTCACGCTTCACCTGTCTTACATATTGCCCATAGGCGATCCGACCCTCCTTCCCCGTTCGCGCACTCAATCTTGTTTCTGCCCAGATGGGTAGTGTGGAATGCCGGCTGCACAGAAGCTCCAGAAGCTTTTTTCTGTCGTTCCAATCTTTCCACTTGCGGAAGAGGGGCGGTGCCGCATGGTGGCCCGTGCGCCTTCTAGAACGGTTCCAGCGTCGCTGACTGGCCCTTTGGATTGCGAGCTTGGGTGAGGGGCTGTTAACCCGCCGCTGCGCTGCTTCGACGTAAGTTTCGAAGTGGCCCCAGACGTGCACCACACACACTGCTACCGTTCAGCAACCTCATCAGGAAGCAACAGCAAACTGGCACTTTTGCCTTGCGCTGCTCCCACCAGCGCTCCTACCTCTTTTCTCCTTGTGTTTCTGGGTCTTTGCCCCCTGCTTTCCCCCTTCTGCTTTCTTTCCCAGCTTCCCAGCTGCTCTTGTTCTATGGTTGCCGCTTGCCCAACTTCCATCCTTCCATCTTCGACTCTCCATTTCTTCTTTCTTTTTCGCTCCTGTCTGAGCTGTCATCCTACATTACAAGCCTGCCATCGATACAATCAACGCATGCTCTTATTGCCTGCCTCTCCTGCCGCCCCTTTCCGGGCCATCTTTTCTTCATCGCTCTTTCTCCATTCTCTGTTTTGGTCGAACAACCCCACTTGCTGGGTTGTGAGAACAAAGACAAGAGGCAGCAAGGCCGCCCAGACAGGAAAGAACGACACAACAAAGACGGATTGATTTTTCCCGCAGATAAGCAACAAGTTCTAGCATTCCAGCACTATTGCACCCCTCCACCAGGTAAGCTACTACACTCAAAGCCTCTTTCTGTCTTTCCTGGCTCCTCCTGTTTCTTGTCATCCGCCGTCCGTCTTCGTGCCTGTCGCCCATACCCTACTCCACAACCTAATTCACCACCTCCACCCCTCATTTGTCGCCACCAAACCAGACGACATCATAAACCATTCCCAATCTCTCTTTCTATTCCCATTCCCTCGTCTCCACCGTCCGCTACATCGCCAGCTCCTCGTCCCTCTACAGCTGCGTCACGCCTCCGCATTCGCAGGTTGACCAAATTGTTTCGCTACAAGCTCAGTTGTGATCGGAAACTGCTTTGCCATCTTCCTCACCGTCGAGCATCATCATACATCTCCCAGGCTTTGTTTCTGCTGAGCTGAGCTGCCCTTGTCCTTCACAAGCTCTGGCTATAGCCGTACCCGTGTGTTCCAATCTTTTTCTTATCGTCACCCTACCGATTGCTCAACTCCTGTTTGTTATTGTGCATTACTTCCCGTCCCAGTCTCCCCAAGACCAATCTTCGTATCACCAGCAGTCGTTTTCAAGAAATGGCGCAACGAGAAGCCGCAAGCCCTGGGTCCCAAGGACAGCATGTTGACACGCTCTCCTCTGTCATCTTTCCTCACTCCGTTATCGATATCGTGGGAAGGAAGGGGCAGAAAGGGGCTGTGAACGCGGGCAATTGCTGTAACGAAGTTCGCGCAACACAGACCAACTGCTTCTGTTTGACAGCTCTGTCCTCCAACCCTCCGCTTTCCTCCAAATTAGCCCGAAGCACACTCACTACATTAACGCCGTTCACAAGAGCACAACATCATATTCGCATTGCCACGACATCTGATCAATGTGTGGCCTTGTTTAGTCTCCAATTGTACACACTAACAAATGCTACAGGCAACAGACTCGGATACGCCTAATCCACGTGGAACGTACGCCTGTGTTCTATCTCCCTTTCGATTTCGTCGGGCCATATCTCAAATTCCACGACAAATTGTACCTCCATTTAAAGGCCTTTTCATTTCAAATTATCCACCAGCGCCTTCATTTTCCTTGCAATACTCCGACCTTACCTCGCCGAACGTTACGATATCGACGACACGATCGCCATCTCTCCAGTTCTCTGTGTACATATTTTTAGCCATGTCTGGCGGAGGCTTCACAAGCCCTTTTGCGGCCAACTCAAACCCGTTCGGTCCTCCGTCGGCGGATTCAAGGAGGGCTCCAGATAACGCAGGGCCTATGCAGCAAGTTATTGAGGAGGACGAGAACGATGTCGTTTCATCGCCAACGTCACCCTTTGCCCTCAAGTCCGGCGCCGTCGGCGGTCCGTCCCGCGCTCTTTTCCCACCAGACTCCTCGTCGGACTTCTCGCAGAACTTCGGCCGCTCGCCCCCGCCCGGCGAGTACCCCGCACAATACAACTTCGGACGGCGTACATCTGTGTCCGCAGAGTCTCTAAAACCAGTAACCGACTCATACGACAACTGGTCGCCGCCGGTGCACCAGAAGTCGGCCGAGCAGCTCGAGCGCCTGAAGGCTGCCATCCAGGGGAACTTCCTCTTCAGCCACCTGGATGAAGAGCAGTCTGCGCAGATTCTGGGTGCTCTGATGGAAAAGCCAATTCCGACAAAAGGCATCAAGGTAAGCGACGGTTGATTCCTCATTGGGCGGGTGTCAAGAGTCAAAGTGCAGATTGCTAAACTTTTTTGCGTCAGGTCATTACTCAAGGGGATTCGGGCGACTTCTTTTACGTGGTCGAGAAAGGCAGCTTCGACGCTTATGTCAACAGCTCCGGCACCCTTCAATCCGGGCCTGAGGGTCTCGGTACAAAGGTGGATACGATCGCGGCCGGAGGTTCGTTTGGCGAGCTGGCCCTCATGTACAACGCACCTCGTGCAGCTACAGTCATCTCTGCAGAACCGGCATGCACGCTATGGGCACTTGACCGTTTAACATTCCGGCGCATCCTGATGGAGTCGACGTTTGCACGCCGTCGCATGTACGAAAGCTTCCTCGAGGAAGTGCCGCTTCTGGCTACCTTGACGCCCTATGAACGCTCCAAGATTGCCGACGCCCTCGAAACACAAAAGTTTGCAGCTGGCGCTACTATCATCCGCGAGGGTGATCCGGGGCACTCTTTCTACCTGGTGGAGAGCGGGGAGGCCACGGTCTATAAGTCTGGTACCGAGAGCCCGGTGAAGCACTACCAAAAGGGCGACTTCTTTGGCGAGCTTGCGCTGCTCAATGACGCTCCCCGTGCGGCGACTATTGTTGCCAAGACCGACATCAAGGTCGCGACGCTGGGTAAATCTGCCTTCCAGCGGCTATTGGGCCCTGTTGAAGGTATTATGCGCCGGACAAGATACGAGGGCGTCAAGACTGGTGTTGAGGACCTGGATCCTCTGCAAACTTCCTAAGGTTGTTTGCTTGATTTTGATATATGTGCCAAATATCTACAGCGGTATCTTACAACCGTCAAGGGACAAATTCATGGTCAACGGTAAAGTGGAATCCGGAGGCGGTTTTGGGTCGTTACTTGATGATTTGTTTTGTGTTTTTTTATCATGCCTAACGGTTTTCGTCTCCTTTTATCCTATTAATTTGCAGCTTGTTTGGTTTGTTTCTCTTTCGAGATCCTACTATCGTATCTGTTTCTTCGTCCCTTGCCTTTTTTTTTTTTTTGGAGAATCTCTCTATATTTACAACACGTTTCACTCCACAAACACCCCATAGGGCCCAGCACCTTTCAAGGACATAGTTTAACACCCTTAAGGAGGGCATCCTTAGTTGAGGGATGGCGACGGTGGTGGCGTTCGGGACTCCTATTGTTGTTTAATCTTCTTTTGCAATACGATCATATTCCTCTCGTCCTCTCTTTCACGACATCGTAAGTTTGTAGTTGAGGCAGGTTGTTTGTGTGTTACGATATTTGATTCATGCGCCAAAAGCGCTGCACTATAGCAGCGTTTATAATCGCTTCACTGTGTCGTCCGTAGCAAAAAGATAAAAACAGTGCTCAATTCTGGTATTCAAAACTCATAACGCCAGGCGCCTTTCCATACACACAGCATGATATGACCAGTCTTCATCAGACACGCTCTCTCTCTCTCTCTCTCTCTCCTACTAGACGTCCTCGCCATTTTCGGCTCGCTGCCGACGCGCGTCCAAAATCCGTAACCGCAGCTCCTCAGCCGCGGCCTCTGTTTCCAGGACACGGCCAACGCCAGTCCGCCACGTCTCCTCCAAGCTTCGCAGCTCGCCTGCGGCCTCGTTCTGTGCACGCTGCCGCCGTAGCGTGACAAGATCGATGTCTTTCCGCGTCTCGGCCAGGTCTGCCTCGAGCGCACGGAGGTCCGCCTCGGTCTGCCAGTTGCCGACGAGCCACGCGTTTTTGCCGTAGCTGTCGAGCAACGCCAAGTGGGCACGGCGGCCACGCAAGTACGTCTGGCTGGTGTAGGCGCGGGTCAGTCGTGTGCGGAGAGCGGCTGCATCCGAGCCGGCCGCCCCTTCATCGTCGTCGTCGTCGTCGTCATCTACCTCGTACCGGGACAGGTCTATGGCGGAGAGCTGTGTTTGCTTCTTCTTGTCATCCTTGGCCTCGGCGGTGTGGTTGGCGGCAACGCGGGCTACCTCCGCCTGCATGGCGGGCGTCAGTTTCGGCTCGTAGGGCGGGCGCAGGAGAGCATGGTGAGGATCATCGGGAACGGTGGTGCGCTCTTGGGCGACAAGGGCTTCGGCAGCGGCGCGCTGCTCGGGTGTTGGTTCAGGGTCGACGTCTACATGCGGCGGGGTTAGCAATCGCCAACTGG